AGATTTCACTACATTTAAATATACTAGGGAAAAAGGAAAAAAAAATCACATTCACACACACTGACAGAAATAAAGGTTTTATAACTCACAGTTTATTTCCTCATCTAATCTTGTCTTGAAATGATATTTATCTGTGAAACCGCAATAATTTCCAAATACTAAACATATAACTACCACACTAATACGTTAAGTATATACCTACCACACAACATAGAAAAACATAGGAGGATAGTAAATGGAAAAAATATTTTAAGACTGCAAACTATTTAATTACAAATGACAGTGACATACTGAAAGTAATTTTTGGCCTTCCTATCTGTATTTCATATATATCCTTGAGATTTCTTGCATAAATGTATTTCTTGAAAATGAGCTAAGTCTAAATAATATTGATAACAGAAAACACACCCTTTATGATCATGCATTGTACAGAACTTCTACCAACCAGATAGAGTTTAACATGTTTCAACATAATTTTAATCTCTAAGAAGTTCAGGCTATTGGCTAGCAAAATCACCTTATACTGGGAGAAAACTGTTTCCGTATTAGACCAAGTTTCCTGTGCCTATCTCCAAACTTTGRAAGGATCTTTTACAAGAAAATTAAAATACTAACAGTTCATGTTGAGTTTCCAAATATGTGAAATAGGCATACAAACCAAAGCTGGGTAAATACTGAAGACTATTGCATGCATGCATGCCTACAGGGAGTTGCRTCTTATTGAAAACAATCTTTATAATACATATAAAACAAGATATAAAGAGGTTCCACAGTAACAGCATCAAATGAACTGTTTTAAAATACTATTTTCTCCTTTGAATCAATCATGTAAAATCTGTTCCAAACCTATACAACAATTGAGCTAATCTCATTAAATAATTACAAAATGCAAAAGCGTTCCATAAATCTCAGGAAAGCATCAGGAAGCATAATTTCAGTCCTGCTATACTTTGTAGTTGCTATACTGTGTAGCAAGGTAGCAACTCATAAACAAAACCCTTTTACTGGAAGCAAGGCAACGAGGCTATSAAGGCTATCGTTGAAGGGAGCACAAAAATCTCCTACAATTATTTGAAAATGAATACACATAAGCCATTATTTGAAAACATTATTAAAACTAAATTTTCTGYATATTAACTTAATTTATTCAAAAGGAGCAGTCATTCTTTTCCGAATAACATGGTGTCACAGAACTCAATTTGATACTTTAAGAATATATAAAATAACTACAAAAATTATGCATAAAAATACGTTTTGCTTGTGAGTATTTGTTAATTGTACAAGTGCTCAAATACTAGTGAATTTAATGTGCATTTAATGATGGTCCTGACAGCTGCCATTTGCCCCATTTCACAGATGTACAAACTTAAAAATTACCTACTGAAGACAATATCAGGGCACYTTAAAGAATTTTTAATATTCATATTAATATAATGATAATACTCTCCTTGATCCTTTCCTTTGGGACTACCTTAAACAGTATCAGAAAAAAAAAGCTAACACTTATTTCTTACATTCTTATTAGTTGTTTACAGAGTTCATACTTAACATTTTACACCCAGCTTAAGCAGACATTTAGTACATTCCCTAGTCTTTATAAACAAAAAAGAAATATAAACTCAGTATTAATAACTGCCTTAACTGGGGAGTTAGAACAACCTGTTGCAAGAAAATAGGGCCCAAAATGTATTTAAAATTATAAAAGAAATGCAGACAGCATACTTTGATAATATATTAATCTCCTAGATGCAAATTCCATAAATTCATTCATAAAAACAATATTTACCTTACCAAAAATGTAATATTTTGTAAACATTGTCCTGTTTCTAACACTCTGATAGCATGTTAACTAAACTGTCTAAATTTACAAGTAAAACAGCACAATTTGACAGCACAAAGACAACAGTTTTAAGCTCAGTGACCATTCCCTAGCAGAGTTGAGCCAGGCAATGCTCATCTCTCCCTCTCCATTTTAGATGGGTATTTTTTCCATCTAAAGCCTCTTGGTGTTAAGCCTCAAACTGACATCACAATATGAAGAGTTATTTCAAAATGACTATAACGCAAAAAAAAAAAAAAAAGTATATATAAATATGTTATGTACTATAGACATTTCCCCTGGTCATCTGTCAACTATTAGAAGAACCAAAGAAATAATATGCTACATCTCTAAAATGTCCTCGTGTCAGAGGGCATTATGCCAGAGTGCCATTAAAATGCGATACTAAAGCTATGGTTGTATTTTTTTTTAAGTATTTAAKTAAATAGAAAAAAAATAAATATACATTCTTTATATGCTACATATACTACTACTACATATGCTATTATATACCCCAGTTAACTTCTTCCGTTTTGTTCAACAGGGGCCTCTGGGTCAGCCTTGACTAACAGTTTTGTCCTTGCTTAGTTCGTTTCGTAACAAATTACTGATGTCATCACATAAATAACAAAGAACTAGGCCAGTTTCTCCCACCAAAATGTCCTCCCTTCTACTAAGTTCACAAGCACAAGAAACTTTCACCTGAAATTTTATCAACATTATTGCGCGCAGCAACAAGAGAGGTTGTCTACATTTTGTTTCCAACACGACACTCCACTTCAACAGCTCCCATAGTTGTGAGGATATTCACCAGCTAAGTAGAGCACTAGCAGCTCACACTAACCCCAACCCAGAGGCGGGTAAGGTAGCGCTCTCGAGGCGCTGTGCAGCCAGGCCCGCCCCTGTCCCACCCAAACAGCCCTCTAGAGCGGTGCAAGAGAGCGCCACCACCGCAGTGCACACGCGCACAACAGGAAATCGAAACAGGAACAACCACCTGGCACTTCCAGGCTCGCGGTGCCTGCCAGGGCTCGGCGCACAACCTCGCTTCGCCCCGGACCTACCTGTGCGGCGGGGGGCGCCGCAGGGACCCGGCGCACGCGGCTGCTGGCGGAGGAAGCGCCCCCGCACCGCGCTCCCCACCTGCCGCCACCTCCGTGGCGGAACCGCACGGCGCATGCGCGCCGCCGCCTGCACTGGAGCCGCGTCACGTGCTCCCATGCAGTACGTGCGCAGCGCTGTGGCGCGCGGGTGCAGGGCTGCAGCTGCCGCGCATGCGCGCTGCGGCCGGCGCAGCGCAGCCCGCGGCAGCGTTTCGGCGCAAAGTGCTGCCCCTAGCCGGGCGCGGCGAGAGCGCGCCCCGCCGCCCGCGCCCCGCCGGGGACGTGCGGTACCTGCGTCCCGCGGCCGCGCCTGCCTCAGCGCCCCGGCGGCCGCCGCCGCCGCCGCTCCCCTGCGCTCTCGCTGCCGCCGTAGATTCAAAATCGGGAGCCACTCCGGGCGCCAACGCCGCCTCCCCGTGTCGCACGCGCCGGGCCGTTATGCAAATCAGACGCGTGTCCCCTCCCCTCTGCCGTCGGGCCCCGCCCCTTTCGTGGGCACAGGGGCCGGCAGCGGGGGCTGCCGCGCCGCCGGCCAATCGCCGTGCCGGCCATCTTGGCAGCATGCAAATGAGCCGGGCGCTATTTAAATGAGCCGCTGGCTCCGCCCCCTCGGCGGGCGGTTGCAGGCGGTTATTGGCGATAACCGCGCGGCCGAGGCCGTTTGAGGGCAGCGCAGGGCGCGCGGTGGCGCCGCCGCCCTGGCTGCCAGGGGGCGCTGCGCGGCGCGGCGCTCGGGCGCCCAGGGGGATGGCGCTGCGGCAACGGCCGCCTCGCGTTCCCGCCACAATGGACGTGGCTGTGTGGTGGGGGGGTCTCTCCTCCCTAACACATGTGGGGAGCCTCACTGAGTGTCTGTGGGGCTCTTAAAAAACAGTCTGTCACCACCTTACAATATTGCTCGTTGTAGCTCCCTTACCTGCCCTCTTTCTCCTCTTTCATGTTTTTGAGCTGTCCTGGGGGAAAGCTCAAGATTTTTTTTTTTTATGACCAGAAGCCCCTGGCCAAAACTTTTTTTTTTTTTTTTAATTACATGTTTTGGGTTTGAAGAGTGTCAAGAAACTTTGAAATCTACCTGAAGCCAGTACTTCATGTAGATCAGAGTGCACAGCTCAGGCAGGTTGCCAGGACAAAACCTGAAGTAGCCACTTCTCGCTCACCGTCAATACCCACCCAAAGGAGGGCAGGGCATTCCCACCTAAAGACCATGGGATTTGCTTTAACCTGAGCGTTAACWTGGCACGCTATGCTGAGGCCAAAGGCAGAAATGAGTAGTGTCAACAGCTTGCTGACAATTAGCTCAACACTAACGTAGTTTTGAGACTCAATCCTAGTTGCCCACTGTGTGATGAGAGTGGTTTTCTCCTTAGGCAAACTCACATTTTTTTTCTACTTCAACAGCGTGCTGAATACACAGCAGGAGTTTCTGTTAGGCACACACAGGGCATACTGTGTGTTCTTGGACATTGTGCAGCCGTACCTACGTGGCATGGTCGTTGCAAGGGCTCTGCTGGAAGCACTCCACAGACTTAACAGAAGGTTTTTAACATGTTGCCGTTCCCACTGGGTTGTCTGAGATCTCTGTTTAATGCTTCCACTTCCACAGCGATGGATGATGAACGATGGCAATAGGGACCATGAATGTGTGTTCCATTATTTGGGACAAGCACATATGCAGCAGTGCTTTAAGCAGGTGTATTAGCCTGGGGACTTGGAACGGCCCAAGTGTGAGCGGCCATCTTGCTCTGCTGTCTCTGCAACAGGCRTGGCAGTTTCTAGTAGAAAATGTGCAGACACCTGAGACTCACACACAAAATAGAGATAAAACCTTCACAACCAGCTTTATCAGAGTTTCTGGAGCTCTAGGGAYGCACATTTACAGGATCCATGAACAATCCTCCTTTGAGAATGAATCAGTAAGACAAACGTTTTGGCTAAATGATGCATATTCCCCAAARATTGGATATTAATATACTCATCTCTTTGGATAATAATTGGTGCTATTCCAAACTTAATTTAGTATGGAAGACTTTACAGCTATATAATTTTATTTTTTTTCACTGAACAGCATTTGAAGTACATAAAGGAGGAATGAGGAAGGAGGATTTATCACCCTAAAGAAGATAAAACTTACCAAATTGTGATTGTTTATAAAAACCTTCCTGAGATCTCTGATGAAAAGATAGTAGTGAAAAAGTTGAGTACCTCAAAGGAATCTTATTTTTTGATCCTGGTATTTGTTTCAATTTGTGACTCGGCACAGTTTAATCAGCAACTGAGGGGACCACTGACTACTATGAGAAGAGATGGAATACTGTTCATTTTGGGTGTCCCCAGACTTTAGATTGCTGACAATCTCTGAAGTGTTTGTAACTAACAGTATGCTGCTGTTCTTTCAACTTCAAAAGATTCCAGGTGTGCAAAGCTTATATTTTGTCCACAGGAAACAGAAACTGAGAAATCTTGGAAAGAAGTTCAGAGCGCTGYATTTGTAATCAAATACAGAAATATGAAAGTTGCATTGAAATCTTAATAGCACAGAAATATTTGTGCAAGGCCCAGTAAACTGACATTTTTTTTCKTAAAAACTACTCATTAATATTTCAAATACTGTTTAGGGAACATTTGTTAATATTAGCTATTTATGAATGATTTAAACACATTTTAAAGGTGACAAGAAAAATATATTCAGTTTTATATAGAAATGCCTAGAAATATAGCTTGTATGCATGCTTTTTGGAAAGATAGAAGATGACCTTGTATTTCAGCAAAGAGTTATGGCAAAGCCAAAAGCCGGCTTTAAAAACTTTCTTTGCTCTTAACAGTTACAGAAAGACAAGCTGTTAAACAGAAAAACAGTTAATTTTGTTTTCGCAGCTCATTACCATTGATTGCCACAGACAATGAAGATTAAAATCAGCATCATTTTTCTTTTTTTAGAAAGATTTCTTTATAGTTTTGTCTTTCTCACAATAAAGTAAATGTGTTCATTGCAATATCATATCCATTTTCTATCATTAAAATGTGCTATATTGTCATTTCTTCGAGGTTTGTTTTACAGAAAAAAAAAGTGCTCCTACTTGTTTTATTGAATGTAGGATTTTTAGTTTCTTTCTCAGAAAATATTCCTGTAGAGTCTTAAACGCAACAACAACAATGAAAAGAGCAGAAGTGTATTTTATTTACTTACCTACTTCACAGTTTTATTAATTTCATGAGGTAGCTCATAGAAAGTGCCCTGCCATGGCATTTTAAGAAAGYAGTATAAGCAGTGAGTTAACATCCTTAAAATTTAAGAGCAATGACAATGTCAGAATTATCAGCTCAGTAATTTGAGTAAGTCCAGATTTCTTTTAACTACTCTTTCTGAATTTGGTCAAATTGGTCAAATTTTGGTCAAATTGGTCATAAATTCAAGACAATGACTCAGTTTATACTACTCAGAATATTTGTAAGAGGAAAGTTAAAATAAAAATATTTGAGAAATTATGAATTCAGTTGCATTATTTGAACATTCTTTTTTTATGACAGAAAGAGAAATGGTGTGTAATGCAATTACTTCACTGGAGATAAGTTTACACAATGCTAAACYTTCAGCACTATTAACAAGTAGTTGTCCATATAGTTCTCTTTCTGTTTGAGTAATGTGCAAATATCTTGCAGGGATAAGCGCAGAAACAAAGACCAGTATATTGTAATATGCTGGAAGAAATGCAGAGTAAATTCTTTCCTGTGAGGGTGACAGAGCCCTAGCACAGGCTGTCCAGGGAAGTTGTGGAGTCTCCTTCTCTGGAGATCTTCCAAACCCACCTGGATGCCACCCTGTGCCCTGTGCTCTGGGTGTCCCTGCTGGAACAGCGGGTTGGACTAGATGATCTCGAGAGGTCCCTTCCAACCTCAACCAGTCTGTGRTTCTGTTAATCACAGAATCACAGAACGTTCAAGGTTGGAAGGGACCTCTYGAGATCATCTAGTCCAACCTTCCTGCTCAAGCAGGGACACCCAGAGCATGTGGCACAGGGCGGCATCCAGGTGGGTTTTGAAGACCTCCAGAGAAGGAGATTCCACAACATCCCTGGGCAGCCTGTGCCACTGCTCTGTCACCCTCACAGTAAAGWAGTTCCTCCTCACATGGAGATGGAACTTCCCGTGTTTCAACTTATACCCATTTCCCCTTGTCCTGTCACTGGCCACCAATGAGAAGAGCTTGGCCCCTTCCTCCCTACATTCTCCCTTCATGTACTTRTACGTATTAATCAGATCCCCACTCAGCCTTCTCTTCTCCAAGCTGAACAGGTCCAACTGGCTCAGTCTCTCCTCATACGAGAGGTGTTCCATTCCCTTAATCATCTTTGTTGCTCTCCGCTGGACCCTCTCGAGGAGCTCCATGTCCCTCTTATACTGGGGAGCCTAGAACTGCACACAGTACTCTAGGTGCGGCCTCACCAGAGCTTAGTAGAGGGGCAGGATCCCCTCTCTTGACCTGCTRGTTAATACTSTTTTATTTGCAACAGCAAATATAATCTTTATGAACTCAGACACTAAATTTAAGCTTTGTTGTAGGCATATAACATTTATATAACATTTTATTTTCTTACATCCAGGTAACTGCTATCAGGAGTTCCCAGTCTCTGAACCAGAGGATGCTAATAAGGTGATTACATGATCCTTCTTTCTTTCTGTACACTATTTTTTCTAGAAAAAAAAAAAAAAAAAGTCTTGATACCTTAAATATTTCCCAAATATTACTGGTCTCCACATGATTTAATAACATCTATCGGTGATGTTGTGGAGACACAAATGGGAGAGCTAAAAGGAAGCATATAATTGATGCATAATGGAGGTATAATTCTTAGTATGAAAATGAACTTTTTTTATATATAGAAAACTGTTGACATAAAAAAATCAGAATGTGATGATAAATGGTTAGCAATCTGGGGAAAAGTGTACACTTTACCTTTTAAATAATTGCTGGAAAATATGTAATTGCCCAAGGTCACCTTGACAAACAGATGGCACTGTTAAACCAATACATTTATGTTAATTTTCCTGGTAACTGAGTTGATTAATAAGTATTTTCTTGCACATTAAAAACCTAATGGGATGGAATGATTATGACTTTTTTAATTGCAWGTAGGTATTATGCAGGGCAAAAAAAAAATACTGTAATATCAGAAAATAGCAGAGAATTTTCCAAATTTCCATATTTGTTCATTACCAGAAATATGTATAATGAGAAAAAAATACATACGTATCTGATAATGTAACTGGTGACTCAGTGACTCATTGGAACTTGAAGAATTTCACTAGGGAGGCTTATAATGTAGCTCAAAAAGGAATGTTCATGACATTTTTCTGATACAGAAAAACAAATAGAAGATATTTTAATTCCTTTTTAATATGTCCACGTCTTTTTTTCATACATAAAGTACAGCCAAAAAAACTTTTTAAATTTAACAGCATACAAACACCACAAGTTCGGTAAATGTAACCAAAATACCTGAGGATTTTATCCTGTAATGAACTGAAATTATTTAAGTCWTATCAATGTTGGCTACTTTTCACTRTACCTACTATCCAATTGCATGACTTAAGTTAATATTGTTTTTCTGTTACTTTTCGGGGTCATAGGAGGTTTAGAGAAAAAACGTAGAGATGCTCTCTTCTCAGACTTAATAGTTTTATTAATAAATTTACTAGTAGTCCATAGCCCAGCTGTTTCTGATGTAAGTTTCTGATCAAAACTTACTCTCTTATGATTTTGCTGTATGATTCAGTTCATCTATGTCCTGGGCAGATGTCTTTAGATTAAATACYTTGCTGTCTTTTTCTTTTTCCTACGAGTTGTCCTCTCACTTTACTACCTTCCCCTTCAYTTAATAATATAACAAGCTAGACATAACTTCATTGCTGTTATTAATAAGGAAACTGAATTTGTGCAAGCCTCTGTACCAGCCAGATTGATACAGCTCAGTGGTTAACAGACAATTCAGTGATGAAGAAGGAAGTGACAAAAATAGCTTGTTAAATTAGTTTCTACTACACTGAAGTAACCTACGAGTATCTTGAGATATGAGATGTCATGATCTGCAGTGTGAATTCTTGTGTTTCACCCCTAGCTAAAGAGTCTGTCACACATCAAAAGACAAAGTAATTTTAACAAAATGTGGCCTAATGGACAAATGGAATCTAGTGAATAAAGTCCTTTTCCCATAGTGTCTAAAGTGAAGCTATTTAAAAACACCAATTGAATCTGTTTGATGAGTAGAAAAGCTCATCTGCCCTTGTTGCACTTTCTGACATGACATAGTTGCTTGGTGATAGTGATGGTTTTGGTGATAGTTGTTCTTGGTGATACATGTAGGTGATATATGGTGATAAGTAATTATAAGGTGGTAGGTAGGTGATATATGGGAGAGCCATAAAACTAAGGGAGCTGTTCTGGTTTAAACTACTTTTCTTGGAGTTTGTTTTGAATAACTGAAAGGACTCATCTGGTGACAGCAGAATAATATCTGTTCATCAAGCGGATTGASTAAGTGACTTAAATGCAGTGGTCTTTCCCTTATTTCTGAGATAATTTAACTCGCTTTAGAAAACAATTCCTTGAAATACAAAGTAATATTGTGGTATGTAAAGGTTGAGAAATAAGCAGTGCTATCTCAGTTTTAACTCTTACACTACCTTTAGATGAGATATGGCTGGCCTCCGAATTACATGGTTAAAGAAACTGTTATGACCTTGTATCTCATTAACTTGTATCTGATCTATCTAGATATTTTTAGAAACTGATGAAGAAATGTAAAGAATGCTTCTGATGTTTTCTCCTGCAGATACTCTTGCAAATATGTTCAGACCTGTTGGAAGAAAATTATCCCAACAGCTCAGGAATGTAATGAATATCTTACATCTTCTATAGTAAATAAACCATGCAGATAAATCTGAAGTATGTCTGTTGATTTTTGTGTAATCATCACCTGATGAATTTTGCTGTTAATAACTTAGTTCAAAGATTAAAGGAAAAAAGACCTTTTATAATGTTTAAAAATAGAAACACTCTTTAAAAGAGAAAAAATGTGTGGAATGTAAAAATGTGCTTGTTTGGGTTTGTTTAATTTTGTTAATATTTTCCCTGCTTGGATTGAATTTTATTCATAATGATGTGTAGTTAAAATGAACAGGAACTTAAAACCCAATAAATTTATGCCAAACCTTACAAATCAAATCAGTCATGCTTATTAAAAAAAAAAAAAAAAAGAGAAGTGCTTTATTTCCTGTTGGTGTTAGGCTTCTCATTCTTTTTGATAAGAGTCATTGTGGATAGAATTTAAATTTTGAGATATTCTCCTGTCCTTAAAAAATTTCAAAGTTAAGCCCTCATCTGATATTTTTTGCTGCATTCTGAGTCCTTTCTCCTTGACTTCTTCCTATATGCTTTTTTATCTTGTATGTAAAACAAGACCAGTACCTCATTTCCTGTATAAGTGATATAAATAAATACAGGTATAGTGTGTGTTTTACTCACTATAAGTAATCGTAGAATCATCATGGTTGGAAAAGACTTTCAAGATCATCAAATCCAACCRTAAGCCACTCAATACTATACTTTTAAAACCACGTACTAGGTACGGGGATGATCCCAGGGGACAATCCCTTCCCTGGTCCTGCTGGCTACACTGTTCCTGATAGAAGCTAGGAGGCCGTTGGCCTTCTTGCCCCCCTGGGCACAGTGAGGGCTCATGTTCAGCTGAGTGTTGACCAACACTCCTAGTTTTTCCTTCTCCATACCTTCCTCTCCATAATCATCTTTTCATGCCTGTAACAAAACTATGCTTGGAAAAAAAAGTGTTTCAGAATTCCACTGGAGTCTTGTGATAAGATATAAAAAACAGCTGCTTTTTCAGTTACTGAGCTTTTCAGGAGTGATTCTTCTTCACTCTTCTGGATGGTTCAGTCTTTTGCACTAGTCTCATATTAATGTAAATGACATTTATTCCCAGATGAGCGGGAGGAGTGTGTACTGCTCCTTTGTTACTTCACCTTACTGAACTGTAGTCTAGCTGCTCTGGGCTCTGCTGGCTCCTTGCCTTACCCTTTTCCAGCCTGTTCATGGGTTCATCTTCTCCCTGAAACATAAAACTCCTCAGCAAAAGAATGAGGTCACTATGCTCACTTTCTAGTTAACACCATAGCAAAGCTGACAAGAAACACTGTGGCTACAAAAGAGCCCCAGTTTCTCCAGAGCATTTGGTTTTCCACCATGCCCTTCAACTTCTCACTGAAGGAGAGCACCATGACTTCCCGTTCCTTGTGTCCTTGCTATTTCATCACCAGTGGTAAGAGACTATTTCCCCAGAAGAGGAAACMAACCATTTTCAGGATTTTCTTTCTCACTCAACATCGTGACTCTTCTCCTGGTCGCACACACACCTTCTCAAATTCATTCTGGCACTTCCAAAGAAAACAATTTACATCAACAAATGGACTCCGCACAGAAGTAAAATATAACATCTCCGCCTGTTAGTGGGACCATGACCATGGTAAAGCCCACACGCCGCCTGAACTTCCATCCTCTGTTTGTACTGAACACTGGGTTTGGGGTGTGTTTCTTTGGTTCTATTGTTGTTCTAGAGATGTGGGGCAGGGAATTTTCCRGAAATGGTAAAGGAGAACCCGGGAGTGCTGCCTCGGGCAGGGCCAGCGGCAGGGTGGCCTCGAGACCCCAGATGCTCTGTGGGGAGCTTTGGCCTGCACCACCTGCCACCATGGCGGACCTGGAAGGGGGTGCTATGGCAGCCAGCGGATTGAGGTGCTGTTGTCGTGGCAACGCACCGTTACAGTGAGGTGAGTGGGGTTGCCTAGCAACCAGGGCCTGCAGCCAGAGGAGTCTGTTGGGAATTTGGAAAACAGCAGTTGGGGTGGGGGAGRGGAAGCGTGGGGGAGGGGAGAAGGAGGGAAGCGTCAAAAAAAGGATAGAGAAGTTCAAAAATGGCAAAAAAAACTCCCAAAACCTACTAAGGCAGGAGGTTGGCAGAGGTGGGAGAGCAGAAGTGGAGCTTGGAGAGGGCGCTGCCAGAGAGAGAGGCCCTTCAACAGTGCTGACACAACTGGGGCCTGCAGCTCCAAGGTCTAGTGGATGAGTGTGCCAGTCGCACCARCATTTTGTCAGGCTCTCTTTGCCTCCATGCAAACCTCCAAGGGAAGCCTGGAAGGGAGGAGTAAAGCCAGCACAAGAACAGTGTGTAGCTGATGTGAGAGAAGGGCGGAGAAAGCCCTTCCCACCATTTTGGGTTCTCTGGTGGAGGCTGAGATCAGAAGGAAAGCAGTCATTGAGCATATCAACGTCGTGCATCAGAACTGTTCTTTTTTCCTTTTTTATTTAAGTGGCTAGGGCAGTACTGTCATTTTTAGGTAGTATTAGGAATGTGGTTAGGCAAAACATAATTCCTTAAAACAGAATGTATTTAACCTATGAGGTCTTCTTTAGACCTAGACTGTGGTAACGCAATGAAGTCCATAAGTGAGACAGGTCCAGAGATTGCTGATGGAGACAAGTAAATATCTGTACAGTGACAGCTGTGCTTTTTCTTTGCTGGAGCCGAGCTCAGAATGAGAAACTGGGACACGTAATGATTGCTTCTGTATTGACTCATTACTCAGAAAAAAAAAAAAAAAAAGATCTGGAGGTTTTGGTGGGTGCATAAATGTTAATGCTGACCAAATAGGGACTAACATACAAATTCTATTTAAAATTAAAACAAGATAAAATAGGGCAAAGTGAAAGTTGGAAAGAAAACAACACTGATAATAGAGCATTAGCCAGTGTACATGCATAGCCCTAATATATGCTCTCACATGAAATACTTTTTCAGGTGTGATACTTYCATCTCAAAAGAATACACCACTACAGAAATTTGAGCTCAGAGATGCCTGAAACATTGACTGGAAGAGATAATTAATAGCTGAGAGTTTTTAGTTTGAAAATAATCGATGAGAACAGCGCAGGTATACTGGGTGACAGCACTCAAGAAGGCTAACAGGGTTGTAGTATTCTTACTCAAAGTGCCTGATGTAGCCTATGCTCTGTCTGATGTGAAAGGGGAAAAGTTGCTTTACGAGGCCGCCTTCCCATCATCACTGCAGTTTCATTTGGGCCTGCACTATGAAGCATGTGCAATTTCTATATAAAAAATAGAAATTTGAAAGGGCATAAGACATCTCAGATGAAGATGTAACCACTTTGGATCTTCCTGAGTTTAATTCTACTTCAGATTTTAAATTTGAGGTGCTGAGGTTATATCTACAAGGGAATGCAATTTTGAGCTTCTTCCATTATTGTGGAGCTGTGCAGTGGGAAAGAAATTTCTGATTATTTTGTTAAAATCCCCACAAGGCAATATGAATTCCTGGCTGTTGCCCTTCTCTACTTGTCATTTGTTTGGCATATCAGAGTTGCCATTTTACTTATACACTTTCTAACTGCAAATTAGGTCCCATAAGAGGAGCACTGGTAGCCGATGAGGAGTCATGCTAGGAGTATCCAGAAGCAAGACTCACTACAGTGGTGCTAAGAAAAGCAAAATTTTCAAGGCCTAGATTTAGTGACCCTTCCTCCTCCCAATTCCTTTATTACACAAAACAAAACTTGGGCAAGTTCTTCAGACATCAGAATTCTATTGCAAAGTACAAACCACGGTGAACACAATTGCCTTTTATGAGAGATAAGCACGTATAATAGCATTTTTGAGTTGTACAAGTTCATTCTCGGTTTCTAGTTCATGTGATAAATTTCTTGGTTCTCAATCTCACTATTTATTAATACCACCAGCACCAGTTTGTCCAATTATGGTCTACTATGTTAGGAAAGAGTGTATATTATTTTGTATAAAATACATAGGACAATTCTATCTGTAAGGAAATAATTGTTAATAAATCTGTTTTACACTCACCTTGACTTTAAACTTAAATGGCATTTAGTATTATCAAGCACAGAACAGTAACATTTTTGTAGTCAACCATGCTATTAAAATCACCATATTTTATTTAATATATGCAACTTTAGCATGTGCTGTCTCTTGCTATTTCACAGTGATGAATGGTGATGAATAAAAAGTGTCTGTTCTGCCCCACAATTTAGCATGTGTATGGCTATGCTGATCTGTTAACATACAATTCCTATTTTGTAAATGATGTTGTAAACTTTGCGGTAGTGCAAAAACAAGCTGGTAGATCTTTACGCTTAAACTAACACACAAACAATACACCATTTTAGGAATGAATATGCTTTGGATCACGATGGTACTTAAAGATAACCTTCAGCTCAGACCTCGACTTAGAGCTCAGAGGGTGGTGGTCAGTGGCGCTGAGTCCAGTTGGAGGCATGTGGTTAGCGCTGTCCTCCCGGGGTCAGTCCTCAGTCCAGTCCTGTTCAATTTATTCATCAACAACCTGCATGAAGGGACGGATGCCCGCTCAGCAAGTTTGCTGATGACACCAAACTGGGAGGAATAGCTGATAGCCCTAGAGGGCTGCACTGCCATCCAGAGGGACCTGGACAGACTGGACAACTGGGTGGTGAGAAACCTCATGAAGTTTAACAAGGGAAAGTGCAGGGTCCTGTACTTGGGGAGGAATAACCCCAGACACCAGTACAGGCTGGGGACTGACCTTCTGGAGAGCAGATCTGCAGAGAGGGGCCTGGGTGGATGACAAGTTGACCACGAGGCAGTAGGGTGCCCTGGTGGCCAAGAAGGCCAATGGGATCCTGGGGTGCATTAAGCAGAGCGTCTCCAGCAGGTTGAGAGAGGTGATCGTCCCCTATACACAGCCCTGGGAAGGCCACATCTGGAGTACTGTGCCCAGTTCTGGGCTCCCCAGTACAAGAGGGATGTGGAGCTGCTTGAGAGAGTCCAGCGCAGGGCTATGAGGATGATCAGAGGCCTGGAACATGCGCCCTAT